CAGACTCTCCATACCAGAACAGATTCTATGGGGAGCAGCCATTGGGAATCCTCGGGGGCGGTCCTATCATCCACCACAGCTCTCCTCACCTGGTAAAGTATAAATGAATCTCTCCTCTGTGAAATGTCATCTCATTTCTGAATCTGAGGGAGTTTGGATCTTCATAGTTTGTCTGATAGACATTTGGGGTTCATCTCTTTCCAAGGTGTCATCTCCACTAAGGAATCCAAGTCATGGAGAGGGGCGGAGTCAGTGGGAGGCGTCGTCTAGACTCCATCCTGGTATTCTGCTGCAGAGACTGGAAGGTGACGGACTGATTGGGGGACCTTGTTGTCTACCAGTAGAGTGTGAATGACTTGTATTCCCAGATAATAATATATAATATAATCCCACGTTTACACACTATATATATATATATATTTATATCTGGTGGTATATCATTGTTGATGACTATATAGTATATTGTTGGGAATTATAATGATTTATATGGTATGTTTCCCTGACATATATGACACCTCAGCTTCCATTCTTCCCTTGGTATATATATATATATTTTATATCTGGTGGTATATCATTGTTGATGACTATATAGTATATTGTTGGGAATTATAATGATTTATATGGTATGTTTCCCCTGACATATATGACACCTCAGCTTCCATTCTTCCCTTGGTATATATATATATTTATATCTGGTGGTATATCATTGTTGATGACTATATAGTATATTGTTGGGAATTATAATGATTTCTATGGTATGTTTCCCTGACATATATGACACCCTCAGCTTCCATTCTTCCCTTGGTATATGCCTGGATTTAGGACATCAATTGGATGTCCCTTTTCTTATATCGCCTTGTTTTGATCCAACAACTGATCACTACTTACTGACCTATCCGGACCCCACTACTATCTAATGATTTACTGTGTATAAATATATACTACTGACCCTGCGCCACAGAAACAAACCCCTCCTACTAAAAAATATATAATATATATAGGATGCTGCTGTGTACTAGTGTAAACACTAAATCATCAAATTAATCAAATAAACAGCACAATACCCAACAAATGATTTATAAAAATGAAAAATACTAGTATAAAAATTTTTTTCCGCAAATTTAGAAGTGTCAAAATAAATGTTCCTAACAACCCAAAACAAAAAATATATAATAAATTTCACATAATATCCAAATAAAATGAAAAACTCATAATGTGATTTAAAGTGTCCAAAATGGCTGTGTCCATCAAAATATCAAAAATCATCAAAATATATATATGACATTATGAAACTTGACCTTTTTCTTCAACTTCAAAGGGCTTCACCAAAAACGAATACATTTATAATGTGATTATCCTTTTGTCATGGCCTTCCACCATCCACCAGTGAGAAACCAATATTAATCGCACCCACCAGATAATGGCGAATAGTAATGCCTTTTAGGGATCCTACACCCCCTCTTAACGCCCTCCAGACCTCCATTCCACCACACCAGACTAAGAAGATTCTTCAACTTCCTTTCTCCAAACAAAACGCTCCACCGTTGTGCCAAAGAAGAAAGTATAGCATATAGTGTAATATTGCTACTAACTTCTTCTTAAATATATAATAATGATGCCAAGTCATTCATGGTATGCAGCAATATAAAAGGCTCTTTATTATGTAGCCCTACAACGGCCAAACATCATCAGAACCCATCCACGATATACTGCAAAAATCCCACAGCTATCTGTGCAAAGGATGACAATGAATTGACAGACACACAGTTCCCAAAATGGCCATCTTTAGGGAAACGCACCTCTCGGCGTGAGTTCCACTCACCGGAAGTGACATATGACGTTAGTAAAGCAGACCGGAAGAGCGTCGACACGTTTCCCTCTCCCAGGTCTTGAGAACGAAGTTGAAGAATCTTCTTAGTCTGGTGTGTGGATTGTAATGTCAGGTCTGGAGGCGTTAAGAGGGGGTGTAGGATCCCTAAAAGTCCTAAAAGGCTTACTATTCGCCAATATCTGGTGAGTGCGATTATGACACCTGTTGGTTTCTCACTTGGTGGATATGGAAGCACTTATGACAGAAGGATATATCATTTTTAAATTTATAAATACATTAATTTTGGGACACTTTAAATGACATTTCTATGAGTTTTTCATGACATTTGGATATTACGTCAGCTTCCATTCTATTTTATATTGCCTGGATTTAGGACACATCAATTGTTGTCCTTCTAAATTTTTTTGATCCAACAACTGATACTACTACTTTTTTACTGACCTTTGTCCGGTATTGCCCATTATTAATTTAATATTTAGTGTTTATTTGCTGACACTTGTATATGTCACTCCAGCTTGTATCCTTCAAAATACCTAAGGAAAAATGGCGCCCGCTTAGCCGTGCGTGCGCACTAAGTTACGTCTTCTCAAAGATGGCGCATGTATAATGCGCATGCACGTCTCTATATAAACTGATGGCGTGCGGCTTGGCGTTATTGGTGTTCCCCTCAGATGACCTGTGGGTGCACGAAACACGTAAGGAGGAGCCAATAACACCATGATGTCACACCGCCGGAGCAACGTGGAGCTCCGGCGGCCATCTTTAACTCTGGCCGGTTAGTCCATGCGGTTTTTGCTTACTCACCCTATGTGTTTTTATCTGGATACCTATTATTATCTCAATAAATATTCATACTACTACACTATGGGATGTGTTTGCCTTGACTCCCCCGGGGAGTATTGATTTACAGACATCCACTGCCCAGTTCCCAGAGAGGGAGCCTCTATTACACCCAGTGAGCTGCACCCATCCATCCCTTAAGGGGAACTCTGGAAATCCCGGATTCATCATCTTAAAGTCCCAGGACCCATCCCCCATAAGAGGGAGTTTACTCTATTCCTGCCCTGAGATGACCATTAGATGACAGCAGGATTTATTACAAAACGCACATTATTTTACGTGTTCCGGTGAGTGCGCATTTCTTCCATACTGATTGCACAGCACCGTTTTTCCAGGACTGTACAGGATATATGAGCACTTAGTCACTTTATGAACTTTTATATGTCTGGTGTTATTTATATCACATGACTTTATTTTTCAGAATCAATTTGTGAATATTTATGTCACTTTTATGTACCTTTTTGACCTTTTACAATAATTTTCGTGCTGCACACTATTATTTACATTGCTTATTGTAAGGTGTTACTTGGTTACCTTGTGCATAGCGGCTGATATCCATTTTTGTGCGCTCACATATACCTACCATACATACTGTATCCCCAGATGGTGGGGACTGGACCTCCTGAATGAAGGATAGGGAAACCTGAAGATTGTCCTGGGCAGGAAGGGGGGAAAAGTACCCGGAATTGAAGGGGTTAAAGGGCAAATATGACAAGAAAACATTCAAAATGCTGAACACAGCACAAGGCCGGGATCACACCATGAGACATTTCTCGGGGCTGCAGTTCCTCTGAGCTCCACAAGGTGGTGATCTCGCTTATACCCAAACAGGAAGTCTCTATGGAAGATGAAGTGATGTCAGCTACAGAAGGAAGTGATGTCAGGTACAGACAGGAAATGTATGTCAGGTACAGATAGAAATTTCCATGTGGCACAAAGAAGAGGAGACATTGGGGGAAGTGGCACAGAGGGGTAATAAGGAGATATTGGTGGAAGTGTCCGCAGCAGAGGAGGTAATAAGGTGTTATTTCCTATTTACACCCAGTCATGTCCGTCCTCTCTCCCCATCATCCGTCCTCTCCCATCACGTCCGTCCCTCTTCCTCCATAGTCACGTCCGTCCTCTTCCTCCATAGTCACGTCCGTCCTCTTCCTCCATAGTCACGTCCGTCCTCTTCCTCCATAGTCACGTCCGTCCTCTTCCTCCATAGTCACGTCCGTCCTCTTCCGTCCGTCCTCTTCCTCCATAGTCACGTCTCTTCCTCCATAGTCCTCTTCCCTCCATAGTCACGTCCGTCCTCTTCCTCCATAGTCACGTCCGTCCTCTTCCTCCATCCATAGTCACGTCCGTCCTCACGTCCACGTCCGTCCTCTTCCCGTCCATAGTCACTTCCTCCATAGTCCCGTCCTCTTCCTCCATAGTCACGTCCGTCCTCCATAGTCACGTCCGTCCTCTTAGTCACTGTGACGTCTTTTATCTCCAGCAGATGATGATACACACATATATAGTGTGGGGACCCCAGATGAACCCCTTCAGGGGCAGAACATTCCCCCACTTCCGGGGCCGGAACATTCTCCTCATTGTGGAGATAAATTCTAGTAATATGGTCCTCTAAACAAACAGCACTGACAATAAATAGACAAGACAAGGACCATCCTGACCATACATGGCCTACAAAGGGCAATGATGACACTACACAGGCAGCCAATGGGCAATCATTACACTATGCAGCCAACACAATGATGGAGTGCCGGGGTCAGGAGTATGGAGCATAGAGCCCCTTACATTGCTGCTCAGGAGGAAGGAAACATTCCCCAGCCGGCCATGAAGAATATGTTCCATCATTGGTGTCAGAGGGAGGGAAATACTGAGGGGTCTGAGGGAAGTAGAGGAGCTGAGAAGCTGTGAGGGTTTAGTAAAGCTGAAAGACTTTAGGGCCTCTGAAGGGGGAATCTGGGACCTTTTAGGGGGGGTAGTCAGGCTGCAGGGCTTTGGGGAAATAGGGGGCTGGAGGGCTCAGGGGATCAGAGGGAGGGGAGGTCTCTGGGTCTGTGGTGCCCCCCCACCTGTACTTTTTTTTCCGACCTTACAGAACCGGCAATCTTAACCATCTTATTGTCTCACTGGTCATGTGACATGTTCTGGAATATCAAGTAACATAGAGAAGGACATTCCTTCACTCAGTGAGCACTTGTTCTTAGAGGAGTCCTGATTCAGCTGCAAACCAGAAACAAAACAAACCCAACAGAGAAAAAAGGGATTTCTGATCCGACGGGCCAAGAGGGTTCCAGGTCCTTCAAGATGTAACAAACACTAAACAGTCCAAACTAAATGTCTTCCCATGGGGGGAGTAGTCCTTACATGTCCAGCAACCCTCCTATTCCCCCCTCACATCCACATCCTATTATTGTGTGACCAATACCATCCAAATCATTCTTACTTTCATTTCCCAAAGTTATCCGTCTACAAGGAGACCTGTATAGATCACATGATGGCACCAATGAGGATGGAGGAGGAAACTAAAGTACCCTGGAGGGAAAACCTGGAGGTCACGCAGGCACAGGAGAACATGCAAACTCCAGACAGGAGAGGTGAGGAGGATTCTGGGAGGTCACAACATCACTCTTACCCTAGTACTGACCTGACGGAGAGGTGAGGAGGATTCTGGGAGGTCACATGACATCACTCTTATCTCTATTAATAAAACACAGACCTGACCGGAGAGGTGAGGAGGATTCTGGGAGTCTAACATGATATTCCTATTGGTTCCTCAATACAGAGATTTCCTCTTCTGAAGTCAGGTGATCATATGACCATCACAGTGCCTCCATGTGACTCCCTAAACCCTGAGAGACACAACATGCAGAAGATTCTAGAAGTCACCAAGAAGATGATGGAGCTGCTGACAGGAGAGGTGAGCGGTGCCGGGAATTCTGGGACATTCTCCAGTAACAGACAAGGGATGTGTCTGGATGGTGACTGTATCATTGTGTGTGTCAGGTTCCTATAAGGTGTCAGGGTGTCACTGTCTATTTCTCCATGGAGGAGTGGGAGTATTAGAAGGACACAAGGATCTCTACAAGGACGTCATGATGGACAATCAGCCGCCCCTCACATCACCGGGTAAGAGGAGACTTTATTGTAAAGGAGAGAGCAGTACGGAGGATCCACCTAGATCCCCCATCATCTGATAAACACATAGAAACAATGGATTCAGTCAGTGTGTGTGTTTCCTACAGATGGATCCAGTCATGGGAACCCACCAGAGAGATGTCCCCGTCCTCTGTATTCCCGGGATTCCACACAGGAAGGTCACACCATCCCTCACCATCATCAGGTAGATGAGGAACAATCACTGATAGTATCATTAGGATCTGTACATTATCTGCATTGTTACCATTGATGTCATTTTTATTATATATTCAGAGTGGAAACCTGAGAGATCCTAAAGTTGAGTTTTAAAGAAGAGATAAAAGAGGAGGAGGATGAGGATGGATGGGGGGATGGAGGAGTCAGAGCTTCTAAAAGTACACAAAGATCTGTACCAGGACACCATGGTGGAGTCATCCAGCTACAGGAACCCCCAGAGAGATGTCCCCGTCCTCTGTATTCCCGGGATTCCACACAGGAAGGTCACACCATCCCTCATCATTACAAGGTTGGTGGGATGGAGCATCTAGAACATGAACTTGTAAAGATGATGTGTGGATTTTTTATGTGAGCTTATATTTTTTACAGATAATATTCTCTTTTCTTGATTTAGAGTGGAGATCCAATCGATATAGAATTTGAGGTGAAAGCAGAAGAAGAAGAGGCGTATGTGAGGGATGATCAGCAGTCTATGGAGGAGGATGGAATAACGGGGACATTTATAGAGGAGGACACTCCTACAGAGATCAGCACAGGTGGGTCATGAACACTAAATCCATTCCTCCACCCATACTGCTCACTGATTGGTCCAGAGTAGGGCGGGGACTGGGTGATATCAGCCTGTAATCCCCTGGTCACTTTCCTGAGCTGTGTTCCCCGTCCTGTATTCCTGGATTTCTCTCGGATAATCTTCCTTCCTTCTCTGTGCTGCAGACACAATTTATGTATCTAGACTGGATTTATGGAGGTTCTGGGGTTCAGCTGGCAGCAAAATGTTTTTTTTCACCATTTTTCCTCATGCACAGGTAAAATCTCTGACCGATCATTTCTCCCAGGTTTCCTTGCTCTGTTATCTGCTGGCTGTGCCGGGTGGAGGGATATGTCTGTAGTGTCTCAGACCCAAGTCACTGAGTGCAGTCTCAGGAGATGGGAGGCAGCGGTGTGGGATCTCTGCAACTTGTCTACAGTAAACATTTAATCTTTCACTGATTCCTGAATACCAATATTATGAGTACTGACCCTTACACTGTATACTCTATTTTGTATATTACATTCTCCAAACTCTTCACTATATACTCTATGTTGTACATTACATACTCCTGACCCCTGCACTATATACTCTATGTTGTACATTACATACTCCTGACCCCTGCACTATATACTCTGTGTTGTATACTCTATGTTGTACATTACATACTCCTGACCCCTGCACTATATACTCTATGTTGTACATTACATACTCCTGACCCCTGCACTATATACTCTGTGTTGTACATACATTACATCCTCCTGACCCCTGCACTATATATACTCTATGTTGTATATTCCATACTCCTGACCATTGCACTATATACTCTATGTTGTACATTACATAGTCCTGATTCCTCACTGAAGTCCTGTCTTTCTGTACATCAGGGGTCCCCACACAACCCTTGAGGTGTATTAGTGCCTTGAGTGTCGGGAAATGTCTTCTAGATGAATGTTGCTGGACATCCCAGCTCTCATGTGGGGAAGAAGCACACCCTAATATACACCTCAGATATACTCCATGGCTGATCTTCATCACGGAAGAAACAGTTGATAAGGAGATCAGAGGTCCCCAAAGACATGGATGAAGTGTGGGACCGGGTTGGCTATTGATGGCAGGAGAAGAATAAAAATGGAGTCCTGACCTAGAGCACTGGGCTGACTTTTCATTGGGGTGCAGCCTATATGCTTGAGATGGTCTGCACCTAAATGGAAGGGGGTCTGCTGTGCTGGGGGAGGGGTTTATGGGAAGGCTGGAGGAGTATATAAACTAGGATGGAGGGGGAGGGAGAATTCAATTATAACAGGGTAGACAGATCAGACGGGTCAGTACTTATTCGGGGGGTGGAATGGGGAAAGATGGGGGGAGGGCTATGGCAGATGGTAAGAAGGTTCCCATGTTACAAACAATCAGTGGAATTAGTACTATTTGTATGAAAATAAAAAATACACAAAATCCCTGTGAACAAGGTGTCAGTGAATGAACAAGGTGTCAGTGAATGAACAAGGTGTCAGTGAATGAACAAGGTGTCAGTGAATGAAAGTGTTTGTTCCCCAATGCCAGAAGTGTGCCCAGCACAATAGGTGAGTTGGAAGGTTTGGTGCATGAAGAGAACTAGGATTGAATTGGTATTGCTGAATCTTGGCTTCATTCCTCACATGACTGGGCCATTCATATTCCTGGCTAGGTTCTCTTTCAGAGAGACGAGGGAAATAGGAAAGGTGGTGGCGTCTGTCTCTATGTGAGAAGTGATCTCAGTGCGAGTGTGAAAGAGGACCTAGTAGATGGAGAGTGTGATGAGGCTGAAGTATGGGTGGAACTGCACATGGGGGATGGTACTACAAAGGTCATCATTGGAGTTTGTTATAGGCCTCCCAGTGTTAATGAGGTCGAGACTCAGCTCCTTGCACAGATGGAAAGGGCTGCAAGGGCTGGGACAGTGATAATAATGGGGGATGGTAACTACCCGGAAAGTGACTGGAGTAATGGTACTGTAGGAACAGTTAAAGGGCAAAAATGTATAAACCTACTATAGGATAATTTTATGGTCCAGTTCATAGAGGCCCCAACTAGGAATGATGCTCTGCTGGACCTGGTCATCTCCAACCATGCAGAGCTTATTACGAATGTTCATATAAAAGAACATCTGGGTAGCAGTGACCATAACATGATTTCATTTATTGTTACCTGTAAACAGTGAGCACATACGGGAAAAATAAAAACGCTCAATTTAAGAGAGCTAATTTTCCAAGGCTGAGAGCTGCTCTCCAAGACTTAGACTGGGAGGGAATATTGGCATCGATGAACACAACACAGAAATGGGAGTTCTTCAAAAAGACTGTATGTGACCACACTGCAAAATATATTCCCATGAGCAACAAGTATAAAAGACTAAAAATCAAACCTATGTGGCTTACGGCCAAAGTTACAAAAGCGATAGATAATAAGAAAAGAGCTTTTATTAAATATAAAAATGAAGGAACGCGATCATCGTTTACACATTACAATGAATATAACAGAATATGCAAAAAGAAAATAAAGGCGCAAAAACTGAAAACAAAGGACAGAAAGATATCAGGACGACCCCAAAACATTCCTCCAATATATGAATAGTAGAAAGGTCCGGTCCCAGCATGTAGGCCCTTTACAGAACCATCTAGAGGGGGTGACTGGGGACAAAGAGAAGGGCAATGTACACTGTGTTCCAAATTATTCTGCAAATTCTATTTAAGTGTCACAAAGATGAAATATTTTGTTTTTCAGTGTAACTCATGGATGGCATTGTGTGTCGGGGCTCTTTTGATCACTGAAAACAATCTGGGACACCTGTGATGATTAGATTGGCCGGTGAGCCCAATTTAAGGAAAAACTACTAAAGGACGGTGTTCCACATTATTAAGCAGAGCACCATTTTCAAGCAATATGGGGAAGAAAAAGGAACTCTCTGCTGCCGAAAAGAGTGAAATAGTTCAATGCCTTGGACGAGGGATGAAAACATTCGATATTTCACGAACATTTAAGCGTGATCATTGCACTATGAAGAGATTTGTGGCTGATTCAGAGCACAGACGGGTTGGTGCAGATAAAGGCACATTGAGGAGATTTCTGCCAGATCCATGCATCGGATCAAGAGAGCAGCTGCTAAAATCCCATTACATAGCAGCAAACAGATATTTGAAGCTGCTGGTGCCTCTGGAGTCCCACGGACATCAAGGTGCAGAGTCCTCCAGAGTCTTGCAGCTGTGCATAAACCTTCTATTTGGCCACCAGCAGGAATGGCTGCATTGGGCAGAAAAATACATGAAGACTAATTTTCAAACAGTCCTGTTCACTGATGAATGCTGTGCAACCCTGGATGGTCCAGATGGATGGAGTAGTGGATGGTTGGTGGATGGCCACCCTGTTCCAACAAGGCTGTGATGTCAGCAAGACGGTGGTGGAGTCATGTTTTGGGCCGGAATCATGGGAACAGAGCTGGTCGGCCCCTTTGGGTTCCCGAAGGTGTAAAGATGCAAAGTATGTGGAGTTTATGACTGACCACTTTCTTCCCTGGTACAGAAGGAAGAACTATGCTTTCCGTAATAAAATCATCTTCATACATGACAATGCACCATCTCATGCTGCAAAGAATACCTCTGCATCAATGGCTGCTATGGGGATAAAAGGAGAGAAAGTCATGGTGTGGCCTCCATCCTCCCCTGACCTCAATCCTATTGAGAACCTATGGAGCATCCTCAAGCAAAAGATCTATGAGGGTGGGAGGCAGTTTACATCCAAACAGCAGCTCTGGGAGGCTATTCTGACATCTTGCAAACAAATTCAAGCAGAAACTGTCCAAAAACTCCCAAGTTCAATGAATGCCAGACTTGTGATCTGCTATCAGATAAGGGGTCCTATGTTACAATGTAACGTGACCGCTTCAAATGTTTAAACAGTTAAAATGTTGTTATAAGTTTGATTGAAATAGCTTTTGATTTCAGTAAATATGCTGCAAACACAACAAATGACAATTTTCAGTTCTTTACAACCTATAAAGTGTTTTGAAACTTACTGTGTGTAATAATTTGGAACAAAAATCCTGTTATCATTAGGAGGTTTGTTCAATAAAATGTGAATTGTACTCTTCTAGTTGTAACATGAGAATTCTGCCGACTGTTATTTACATCATTATTGAGGGAAATGACAAAAATATCATTTGCATAATAATTGAGAATACGGTGTACAGCGTGTCCAGAAAGTATTCCCATTGGTTGGATGTCTCCTCTGTTCATACAGCGCATCCAGAAAGTATTCCCATTGGTCAGCTGTCTCCGCTATTCATACAGTGCGTCCAGAAAGTAATCTTTTGAAATCTTTGGAATTTATTAAAAATAAAAAAAACAAAAAAAAAAAACCCTGTACATAAGAATTCCCAGCCTTTGCCATGACACTCAAAATTGATCTCTGGTACATCTTGTTCCCAATGATCATCCTTGAGATGTATCCACAACTTGATTGGAGTCCACCTGTGGGACATTCAGTTGATTGGACATGATTAGGAAAGGCATAAACCTGTCTATAGAAGGTCCCACAGCTAACAGTGCGTTTCAGAGCACAAACCAAGCCATGAATGCAAGGAATTGTCTGTAGGCCTCTGAGACAGGATTGTATGAAGGCACAGATCTGGGGAAGGGTACAGAAAGATTTCTGTAGCATTGAAGGTCCTAATGAGCACAGTGACCTCCATCGTCTGTAAATGGAAGAAGTCTGGAGCCACCAGGAAT